CAAGAGTTGAGTCTAGAAAATTTACTAAAGCAATTGAGGGGGAAACAAGTAACTAGCCAAACCACTATTACTTGTGCACTGGTACTGCGAATCCAGCCTGGGAAGTAAAGTTTAACTACTTGCCTGCAAGACTGGATAGGGTCCTTTAGTAACACTGGTAGTCAAACAAGAAAGTAAAAAAGAGAGCCAATTTGTAACGGGGAAAAGATCCTTGTTTATCCATCTCCATTTGGTGAAATCGTTATGGAAGGAAATGATGCCTTTAAGAGGGTGTTTAAAACCTGGACTGTATAAAATACTTCAATACATAACATGTTTCTGAACCAGAAGAGGGATTGCGCTACAGTGCGTTAGTTTTATCTGTTTTGACAGCAGTCATTTCTGTACCTTGACAAAAGTGAAATGACTCCCCACAAAAAACCAACCCTCCACAAATAAGGGGTTTCATGCTGTTTTTTCAGAGCCCTGGGGAGATCAGTGCTCTTGCTGCTGCTGTGCTAATTGGCTTTCTCATGTTTGTCATGCGTGTGCTTGCCCGAAGATTTAATGAAAAGCAGCCATGTATGCAGATTACTAACCTTAGGTGATGGATTTTTGGCAACAAAGGGCCCTACTCTCCTCATACACATAAATAGCATGTATGTGCACAGACCTACGTACATGAAGCTCAAGATGGGCTAAAAGAAGGAAAGAACTTGCAGGTGCTGCTCAGAGAGAATCTGAACATTGTTTGACGTATATTATTTCCATCCAGGACTCATCTTCACTTTCTGATTTGGAAAAGCTTTATTGCATAATTAAATGTTAACACATTATGCAAGGTTTTAGCTTTTCTATATTGAATGCTAAATCTTACATCAGGATTTATTATGCATTCTCCCTCTCCCTCATTTATATAGCTGTTTAATATTTTAGCTGAACCTCAGCTGACGTTTAATACATTCCTACTTCTATGGGTAGTTTTTCAACTTGCAGCATGGTCAATTGATAAGTTTAACACCAGTGAGAATATAAATATGTAATTTCCCTGTACCTCAAGGCAGAATTCAAAGCTATGGAGATGGTAAAGGAGTAAAGGCCAGATTTAAAGCCTGCCTAGTGAAGGAACATTTTAAAGAGAGGATGTCTTATTCTAGAAGCTGTGGATGTGCAAAGAAGAAAAAAAAATCTGAATATTGGAATTGGGGTGGGTGGAATTCTCCCATTTAAAACCATGAAAAATTATTTAATCAAGGGCCCAGTCTCACCATGTTGGCACACCCAAAGTTCCTCTTGAAGTAGGATTTGAGTCCTTGTTTACTTGTTGCAGCTATGCTGACTTTTTAGCACCCAGAGGCCCCAATCAAAACTGAAGCCCCATCTGGAAAGGTGCTAACACAAAGTAAAAGATAATCCCTGGCCGCAAAGAGCTTTCAGTCAACAGTATTGCAATCAATTAAGTCAAAACTTGTATTTTGTAATTATTTAACAAATAAATCTGACTTGCTAGCACAGTTGGAAATGTAAAATGGCTACATATTTTCTTTATATTTAAAACTACTTTAATTTATTGGATACATTATTTCAATAATATTTTGTTGATTAAAATAAACAATACTTTTGTTTAAAAAATCACTATACTCATGGATTTATTTATTTATTTATTTTTGGTACAAACAACTGGCCTGCATTTGTAAATAGATGTGTGTTTACATGTACCACTTGAGATGGTTCCAGTTCTCTCTTCACCTCACAGTTAGGGAATTAGTTAAAAGTTGCTTCTTTGTTGGTGCCTGAGCGTTGGTACTAAAACTGTTCTTTGCTCCTGGCACTTTCTTTCCTGAGGTCAGAATTCATTTGCGCTGTCTGAGTCACCCGTCAATGACTTCTTCAGTTGAGAGATCCATTTCAGATTCTCCTAAGCAAAAGAATACTTATTTTAAAGTTTATGGGAATAGAGCCCAAACAACAAAATAAAAGTAAAAATAGTTGATGCTCCACATTCCAAACCTAAAAAGAAATAGAAATATTTTTGTGGGTATATTTTGTTTTGACGGCTTTATGAAAGCTCTTCTTCTTTTTCCCCCCTCCAAAGCAGTTTTCCTGAAAGCTCTAGAATTTTTTTTTAATTACGTTATTTAAACACATGTTTTTATTAAGGCATTTGCAATGTGTATAGTTTTATAAAGTTGACAAAATTGTTGACAGTCAATTACTGCCATTAATGATCATTGGTTGTCATTTTCTTTAAATGGTAATATTAAATTTATGCTCTTTAATTGGGAGCATGCACTTTACGTTCTGATTGTATGTAACCTTATGGCTACTTTTAAATTGATTTGATTGAAGCTCCTTACAGAAGTATAAAATTTAATTTATTTTTACCCAATGTCAGTTTTCTGCTGATCTTTTCACCTTAACAATTTTTATTTAGCTTGGTCTGTTAAACAAATATAATGCAGTAGTTTCTGTCATTGCTCTGACTGATTACGTTCAAATTGCTTTGCTGATAACAGAATCATGTTATGAGCCCATTCCCGCAAGTCTTCTATGCGTGAAGCTCCCATTTATGTCTGAGCTCTCATCTCGGAGGGCTTGCAGAATCAGGGTTTTTATTTGAATTACTGAAACATAAAACTTGCTTCATTCCACACAATTTTTACACTTCTTGAAAAGAGTAAATGAAACTTTCACATTATTTCCATGGAAGAGGTTTTTGATTACCTTGAGGTATGTTTTAAATCTTTGGCTGATAACAGCTGCTGCGATGCCCTGGCAGCACTCAGGCTTGAGTCCAGTGTGGACCTTCATCCTGTGTGTTGGTTCCCGATCCCCTGTACAGTAGAACCTCAGAGTTAAAAACACCTCGGGAATGGAGGTTGGTTCTAGCTCTGAAATGTCTAACTCTGAACAAAACGTTATGGTTGTTTCAAAAGTTTACAACTGAACATTGACTTAATAGTTTTGAAACTTTACTCTGACATGCCAAACCCACGAATAAAATGCAGAAATTGGGTTTGTTTTTGGATTAATTGGCTTTTTGCTTGTTGGCTAGTTTTTGTCTTGTAACTTGTTGATTGTTTGGCTTGTAGCTTATTGCTGCTTTTTTTTTTAATCTGCTCTTGGCAAGCAGGGGCAAAGGGCAAGCATGGGAGAGAGCAAAGGGCAAGCATGGGAGAGAGCCAGGGGTGCACAGCGGGCCCACCACAGTCCCAGACTGCGCACCGGGGGGGGATCTAGTCACATAGTGTGTTGGGGTTCTTAGGGATTGGCTTGTTTTGGCCTTGTTTTGAAATAGGATTAGCTTGATTTTTGGCTTATTGTGAAAGTCGGGATGCCTGTTTACCGCATGAAAGTTGGCAACTGTGTTTACTATGCAGAAGAAAAATGCTGCTTTTAACCATCTTAATTTAAATTTAACAAGCACAGAAGCAGTTTCCTTACCGTGTCAAATCTTTCCCTTTATTTTTTTAGTAGTTTACATTTAACACAGTATTGTAATTGCTTTTTATTTTTTATTTATTTTTTTATTTTTATCTCTGCTGCTGCCTGATTGCATACTTCCAGTTCCAAATGAGGTCTGTGGTTGACCAGTCAGTTCGTACCTCTGGTGTTTGTAACTCTGAGGTTCTACTGTACCTCAGACCCACTTAACTTCATCTTTTCTGTTTCCAGGGAAACAGCTCCTGTACCCTAAAATCACCAGCCAGATACAAACTGTAGTTGCATTTTAACAAGCCTCTTATTAGGCTTAAAGAATATAATGGACTCAATTGTACTGTGTTGTACAGGTGTATCTCCATTGACTTCAGTGGTATTGCACCAATGTATCTGAGAGCAGAATTCATTTCATTTTCCTTTCAATGTGTGTGCAGTGCTCCAGAGATACGTGGAAAGACTTCACTCCTATCTGTACTGGGTAAGAAGTCTGAGTGAGTGAGTCATATACTGTATCCCATATGGTCATAAATATTATCTATGCAGCACTCTTCTCCCTCCGTCCCCTGCATTGAGAAATGGAGGAAGATTTTTAAAAAACTTTGTAGGATTCCATGCTTATATCAGTGGCACCATATTGAACTTTTTAACTTTGAATAAGAATAAGAAAATTCTTTCCTGTCAGCCCTCTAAACTCAACATGGAATCTGAAAGTTGCATCTTTACGAGTAATAAAAATGCTGCCTCTGATTTATATCTGTGCAAATCCACTGGAGGCAGTGGGGTTTCACAGATATGATAGAAGGCAGAATGTATTTATATATGGAAATGAGACGTGACATTTATCATGTACCTGTGTATCTCATTCCTGTGACCACCTCATGTGCCATTTATCCATCAAGCCAAAATTATTCTAAGATTTAAAATTTTTCAGCAGCTTCCAATAGTCAACTTACATTTCTATTCAGATTTAATTTAAAATATATCCTGCTTTCCCCAAATGTGAAATTGTATCGATTGATTTATTATTTGTTTGTATCTAGACAGTTCGTGCCTTAAGGAGCTCTCAGTTGCTCTTTTCCCCCCTTTTTTTGTGAAGTACTAAGCGCACAGTTAAACTTCAGTGAATAATAACGAAATACATATTTTTAACATTTTTCCTTTCAGTTTGCAGACACTTGCATAAGTGACATCTTTGCTTGACCATACCTGTTAGTAATAGATATCCAGTGGTTCCATTTATTCTGAATATTTTCTTGATAATGTAGCTGACTATTTCTTACTAAACAGTAATAATACAGTCATCTGGCTGGCTGTAGACAACAAAGGAATTGAACCAGTCCTCGTGGAGTACATCCACTGGAGGAGATGATGGGGACTCACTGATATAATGGAAGTACATGGTATAACATGCAATACATGTTCTGTTTCAAGAATTTGTATATATATACTACGTTCAGTGGTATTAACATCACACCAGGGAACTTGTAATTTATCTCCAACTGAAATATCTGGCATGGTGATATATGTTAATCTGTAATAGTTCTTAGTGCAGTTGTAATTTTTTCTTTTATTCCCACCAGATCTTGATCATCTTGGACTATAATCTCCATGGCGTGAAAATCTGAAGATATTCCGGAGTAAAAGATTGGTTTATTTAAAGTGACTATTGTATCAAAATGGTTGGAAAACTCAAACAAAACTTGTTATTGGCATGTCTGGTGATCAGCTCAGTGACAGTGTTTTATTTGGGGCAACATGCTATGGAATGTCACCACAGAATAGAAGAACGCAGCCAGCCAGTGAGGATGGAAAGTGGGAGAACCACAATAAGAACTGTCTTTAACTTAAAAGCAAATAAAACCTTTGCTTACAATAAAGACATGCCTTTAATATTTATTGGAGGGGTGCCTCGAAGTGGCACTACACTAATGCGTGCCATGCTAGATGCTCACCCCGATATCCGTTGTGGAGAAGAGACTAGGGTTATCCCTCGAATTCTGGCAGTTAAGCAGATGTGGGCCAGATCAAGTAAAGAGAAAATCAGACTGGATGAAGCTGGGGTGACAGATGAAGTTCTGGACTCAGCCATGCAAGCCTTTTTATTGGAAATCATTGTTAAACACGGGGAACCTGCTCCCTATTTGTGTAATAAAGATCCTTTTGCTCTGAAGTCCTTAACTTATCTTGCCAGAATTTTCCCCAATGCCAAATTTCTTTTAATGGTACGGGATGGTCGTGCATCGGTGCATTCCATGATATCTAGAAAAGTCACCATAGCTGGGTTTGACCTTAACAGCTACAGGGACTGTTTGACCAAGTGGAATCGTGCTATAGAGACTATGTATAACCAGTGTATGGAGGTTGGTTTTGAAAGATGCATGCTGGTACACTATGAACAACTTGTATTGCATCCTGAAAGGTGGATGAGAAATCTATTAAAGTTTCTCCACATTCCATGGAACCAAGCAGTGCTACACCATGAGGAAATGATTGGGAAAGCAGGTGGTGTCTCTCTTTCAAAGTGAGTACAAGTGTTTCTTGGTGTCTTGTATTGATCTAAACTTCACTGTTTAGACATGGTTTGCATTTTGATGCCAAGTATAATTACAGGCTATTGTAGAAATACAAGTGTTGACCAGTCTCAGCAGTAGTGTATTTTCTTTAATCACTTTTCACTATGGCCATTTTAATGTTCCTGTAGATAAAGACCAGAATACTCTGCAGCAAGTCGGACTTAAATTCTGCAGCAAAGCTCTGTGTCACCAGAGTGGCTGACGTGAAATTTTGCAACAGGTTCATTTGAATTGAAGGGTTTTATTGGATTACATAGGAAATGAAATAACCAGTACAATAGCCCTTCTAGTCTTCTGATTTTGACATTAAATTCAACTTTTTTCATTCTCCTCACACTTTGTGTGCTGCAGCAGATTTTTATATTGAAAATGCATACTTACCTTGTAGAAGATATCAAGGAAAGTTGTAGGTTTTTGCATCTGGGTAAGGGGCAGTTTGGGCTTTTAACCCACAATAAGGTGTTGGAAGTAGTTTGGGATTGTGAGATAAGCATGCTGGATGTTTCTAAATATGGTGACCAGATGTCCCGATTTTATAGGCCCCAAATATCATATTTGGGGCTTTTTTCTTATATAGGTGCCAGTTACCCCCCACCCCGTCCCGATTTTTCACACTTGCTATCTGGTCACCCTACTTCTAAAGGTCCCATCACCACTACCAGTACAATCATGGTTTTTGTAACCAGTTGGTGACTTGACATGTTAAAACAAACACAGAGTAGTTTGCACAGCAGCATCATTGTGTCATAGCTGTAGCTAACCGTGTTTGTATATTTGCACCTGCCATATTGCCTAACCGTGTTTGTATTAATGCATTCTGGGCAAATGTAGGGAGCTACCCTGTTATTCTATACCTCAGTAAGGAATATAGGGTACCTGAACAACACGCACTGAGTGGAACCGTGCACGTAGGTCAATACACTCTGGAATATCTTCCTTTCAGCTCCTTGTGCACTAAGTAGGACTGGACACTGGATTACTTGGGCACAGTTACGGGGTTCCCATCTCCACTATAAAATGTGCTGAACTGTTCACAAGAAGCAATTGTGACTGCCTAGGCCTCTGGCAGTGGCAAAACACACTACAAGATGCCACATTTACTAATAGAATATTTATCATAGTTAATGTGAACACAAACCATGTATAGAGCAAAGAAGGCATTAACTGGTTACAAACTCAGTTAAGAATTAAGTGGCCAGGCTAAACTGATCAGCAAGGAACTATTTAACAGTGGGTTACAGCTAAATTATTTAGATTTCAGAATTCATCTCCTTGGATGACTGAAGCAGTTCACATCTCAGAGCTATTGTTAAGGCTATCTGCAGTTTGGGAAGATTATGTATCAGTTTAGATTTCATTTTCATAATTTTAAATATTTGGATAAAACCTGATGATGAGCTATGATTACCTAGGTATGAAATCCATTTTTGCATAGGATTAAAGATAATGCCTATCTTATTGACAGTATATACATTTTTTTAAGAGATTAGTTGTATCTAGGGTTCAATCTTAAATGGTTTAGTAATTCCTCAGGAAGCAGAGTCCTAATGTAGAGTGTCTCAAAGGGTTTGTCTACACTAGAGGTTTTTTTTACCTCAGGTTCATGGATTGTAAATCAGCTTGAGTTATAATCTTTCAGGAAATTTGAGGAACTGCTGTTCCAGTGAAGTAGGACCCAGAATTGGCATACTTTTTTCTTTTGGCACAGCCTTCTGAGAGGGTTAGTATTTTGAATATAAGAAACCGGTTGTAGACGAATCTTTTACTAATTGTCTTTCATGCACATTGTGCATTTGACTTCCTGAGTAGAGCTGGGTGAAGTAACCGGGTTTTGATATTCTTGAGGGAGCTTAAACGATTTAGTCTTTCCTATGATGTCTAACTTACTCTTCACTGACCAGCTCTTTTGGTGTGTCTACCCATATGTGTAGCTGGAGTTTGAGAGAAGTGGAAACTCATTATTCATAATACAGAAAAGTCTTTTTCTCTCCCCTCCCTCCTCTTCCTAAGCACAGTTCTTTCAATATGTGACTCATGTCTTTCTTCCTTTCCTGATATTGCAAAGCTTTTACTATATTATGTCATCTCTGTTAGACTGCCAGAGGGACAATAGTTACTTTTTGTATTAAAAAGTGATGTCCTAGCTGTGGGATGTGCCCAGTTAAATTTCTTGGCCACAATGTATGACTGCCTGTCTGTGCTCAAGTACTCTTACAGTAGAAGAAAGAAAGAAGAAAGCTCCTCTCACAGTGAGTAGGAACACTACTTTTTTCAGTTGATTCAAATAAACTAGTAAGATTAACTGAACAGTGGAGAGGATAAATGCTAAACCTAAACAATTGGGTAAGCCAACAGGCAAAATCATTTACACTAATTAATTCTTCAAAAACCTAAAGCCAAGTGATTTTATATTAAAAATTGGAAACCAGCTATGAATGGCTACTTATTAGATCCCTAAGCCAGTATTTAATTCAGAGTGGGTTTTAAAGACTTTATATTGATTTCTGGCATCCCCAGTAAAATATCAGGGTACTGATGCTGCTGTAGTGGAAATGGTTGCCTTTGTGGCAAGTGAAGATTTAATGCAAAGAAACTCACTCTTCTGTGCCACTGCCCATATGTTTGATTGTCCTCATTAATGAACATTTTATATTGTGGTAGTGTCTCAGGTCCAATTTGCTTGTGGTCTTTATTGTGCTAAGAGCTGTACAGACATAATCAATGACAGCCTGTGGCTCAGATTGCTTACAGTCTAAAAGGTTGGATAATACTTTTTTTTTTTTAATATAAGAGCAGAGATATTTTGACATGAACCCTTTTATTTATTAAAAAGGGTTATCATGTTGATTGGAAAGATGGCTATACAAGTATGCAAAAGCCCTGTTGGTCTGAGGAATAAGCTAGATATGGGAAGTGGCAATGGGATGGAAGATAATGAACTGGGAAGAAGTCCTCACATGATACACTGTTAGTTCGGAAACAGGGATTGGGAAAGATGAGATTGGTACCTAAGTGCCTCATAAGTATTTAGAAATAGAAAACAGACAGCTTTCTAATGAGTCCCTGCTTATGTTGGAACCGTGGGAAGTAACTGGATTTTTCAGGTCTGCCTCTGTTTGTTCTGATACGCTATAATGCCTTTGAGTCAACAGTAAGTTGCCGGAGTCACAAAAACTAACAAACCATCAGAACACTGGCGTCTTCAAGGCTGTTAGTCTCCACAGTGTTAATTTTACTATAAAGGTAGTCATTAAAAAATATTATTCCATCAGAAAATATAAATTGGACACTCCTAAAAAATGTGGGAGGATCCAAATCAGTTTTATGTGCAATATCACTTCACTGTGCTGTGCAGGGATTGATTACTACTTATTAATGTAAGAGTTCTGATTTCTCTATCTCCCTTGCACTGATTTATTTAAAAAAAAGGCTCCAGTGTGGCTTTTATTGCTAGTTTTGTTTTTGGGAGTAGTACTATGCCTCTTCACCCTGTTTCTTATGAAGTATTTATACTTTATCACTTGATGATTACCTGTTCTGTTCATTCCCTCTGGGGCACCATTGGCCACTGTCGGAAGACAGCATACTGGGCTAGATGGATCTTTGGTCTGACCCAGTTTGGCTGTTCTTGTGTACCAACATTTATTGAGCATTTGCTCAGAGGGGTGTAGTTAATGCAAACATTTAATGTGTAACTTCAAACATTTGCATGGGTGTTCTCCCTTCTCACACCTCTCCACAAGGGATTGTGAATTGTGTACATATTTGTAATAGGTTGAGCTGGTGCAGATGTCAAAATGCTGCCAGAACACAAAAGTAGACTGCCACCTGTGACTTCGCCTGAAGTAATAAACCCCACCTAGCCTTTCGGGCAATGGCAGGGTGGGACCAGCTCCCTGTAGCTAATCACTAATTCTTCAGATAACTTCCCTCTCTACTAGATCACTAGTTCAAAATAAAATATTAAATTATTTTAATGTATAAAATACAATTTAAAAACCCTGGATCCCCAATCAAGCAGTCTACAATATTAAACTCCAAACAGTTTATTGCTCAATATTTTTCCCCAAAACTAAATGATCAATCTTATCTGATGTGATATTTGATCCCGTTTACTCATGTCATTGGTTGTGCCATTTGAAGGTAGTTGAAACAATAAACACATCATAAAAAGTAAGTTAATCTGAGTCCTGTTTACTTAAATAAAGTAAAACAAGTCAATACAGTTCTGTTGGCCATTTGCAATTGTATTTAGTTTTATGGGCTTTTTTCCTGTACAGTGAAATACTGAGTATAATAAATTGTGATCTTTCCCTTGGCATATCTTCCATTGTAATTGTTGAAGTATAACTGCTTTCTCAAGTGTTTGATTTCATTCAGTATTAACATTACCTACTATCTCTCATTTTAAAAATTTTTGGTCAGTGCAGTGATGTAAATATCGGGCATTCTGTAGCAGGCTTTTCTGATGTTGGTACCTAGGTAGCATAACTGAGATTACCCTTCTATTCTCCATAAGGAGGGAGTTTCTGATCCTTCACAGAATGAGGCTGTATGCACAAATGGAACCCCACTCTTACTTCAGTTCGGCCATATATTTCAAACCGTTGTCTGGTAATGCTCTAGAATATAGTAGTTTCCTTGATTGATTCTGTTGTATCTGTAAATACGTTTGTGCTTTTTCTCCTTTGTCTTATCTTCTAGCTATTTATTCAACAGCCCCGTTATCTTATTCATAAAGCATCACATCCAGTAATGACTAACCATCTGTTCCTAAAAAAATGACCAATGGATTATGTTAGTAGTGAACAAACCGATCAAACTTCAATATCTTTGTGCATTATGTGGTCTTTTACTGGAATATTTTCTTGGCCAGAACAACACAGATGGAACTGGTAACATGTGGTCTTGATTATTACAAAGGCTTTCATATGGCCTCTTTAACAGGTGTTTTCCTCATAAGTCAAAGTTAGTATGTCATGGTTTGATATACTTTTTTATTACAACATTATGTTATGTACTGTTAAACCCTTTTCGCTTATCAGGATATTTCACAGTATGTACCGCTGCACCAAAATTGAGTGCATGGTGGGGTTGTAAATTGGCAGTAATTAACTTTTGTTCCACTTAAGAATTGGCTCAAAACCAAATTGTTAGTATTAGATAATTGTTCTGGAATTATAACTGAATTGCAAAATCTTGCACACTCCATCTCCTTATCCTAAACCTTCTGATTGAGTTGGAGTAAATCAGTGCATCATAGCTGCCTGTGTATCAGCAAATTATGTTTACTGTTGTGGCCTTCGGATTTTAGGTTTCCATTTCATTCTGTTACTTCACTAACATTGCTTCTTAATTGTGGGATCCAAAAAGTCCCATATTTCTGCTGATAAAAGGAAGCTAACACAAGCTTTAAATTGGGAGGGAGGCTCCCAATCTGCAGGCAGGAGCACGAGGCAGTACAGAGCACTCATGCACCCTCGATGCCATTATTCAAGACTCCAATCGCATATGCATGAGGCACATGCATATCTGCAGTGCAATGTACACCAACATAGTGTTAAAGAACCAGTTACTGAAGGATAAGTAACAGTTCTGTATTGAAGGAGTCTATGGCGTTGTCTACATGGTGCGGGAATGCACACCAGTGGGGCTCTTCCTGCTAGAGCAGGCTTTCTTCGGAGAGACTGCTCAGAAGCTGACATAGCCTCTTCATTGATGTTGTGATTTCCTCTTTCTCAGGTGATCAGTCTTGGAGTTCTGGAGCTTCAGTATTCCCTTAGGGGGGTTTTCAACCCGAAAGCCAAACCTTCTCGCCCATATCCTGGATTCCTATAGCTTGTGAACTTCACTTACTGAGCCTTGTAGCCTCTCTCTCCAAGATCTTTGGAAAAGTCAGGTGCAATGCCTACCAAGGAGCCATGTAACCATGTCCAATCAGGTTAGAATTAAGTCCTTTTTAGCTAGTTGTCAATTCCAGAAAAGTCCAATTTAAACAAAGTGTTTGGGGTTTTACATACCCCAGAGATTGAAAGTCCATGATATCCCCATTCTGTGCCTCGTCCCCCCCACAAAAATCGGAAATTGGACATAAAGCCACTTTGAGGAAGAGGGTGCGCTTTTATTTGGGTGAAAAACCTGATGACAGATCATCACTTTACAGAAAGTTCAATTAGCAATTATTCACCCAGCAAAAAAAAAGGAAATAAATTGGAACTTATGACAAATTTACATTAATCTTCCTGTTTATAGAACTGGGCTACAGTGACATAGGTTATGTCCTGAAACTTCACCATGCTAGAAGGAGCTTACTTTAAAATGTCTGAAGATGAAACTCATGTAAGATTTTCAGTTTTATATAGAGCCTGTATTCTCATGAAGGCTGTTTCTCTCACACAGATAATTGGTCACTTTCAGATAAGTGGCTTGCAGAATCCTGGGGCAAGAACGTTTTGCCTTCACCTTCTTTTCCCCTCCTAGTTTTTGGCTGAGTTCCATGCTCCACTCTACTAGTAGTAACTCAGGATAGGAGACACATCTGATTAATATTCTGACTTTTGGTTTTGATTCCACTGTCGCCTTGAGTGGGCAGTGATTATGGGTGTCTTAGTCTTTGTCTGCATTTGCTTAATAATCTTCATTTTCATTCTTCAGTTTCTTATGCTGATGCTGCTGGAGCCTCATTATTATTATTAAGAGAACAGGAATAGCAATTTTATTTCAGTTTGGCTTCTAACTAGTGATAATGTTAAAAGGCCTTTAAAGATGTATATTGCAGGATTTGTGGTAGCACAGAATCTTCTGCGGTTTGAAGTAATAGCCAGCATGGCTGTTTAAGGAATGTATTGTAGTATGTAGTAGTCTAGCCATAAGGAGTATTGTTAATATATCCCTGGCATTTGCCACCTAACTGAAAACAGCTGTGGTGACCACAAATGCAAAGAAATGCCATTCCTTTTTCAAGGAGGATTTGACAAGGTTTTTTTTTTTTTTAAACATTTTTTAGGGTTATTGTGAAAATAGCTAAGTAGGCAGAAATAGTACTGGAATATTCTTTTTTGCAGATCAATTTTTTTTCTTGGTTATTGCCATGCAGAGACAGAAGTGCTTGTGGTTAGCGCTGGATTACATGTCAGCTGTTTCACTGTCTCAGATCTTACTGCACTTTTAAAGTAGGACCTAGAACTGCCATCGTGTGTGTGTGTGTGTGTGTGTGTGTGTGTGTTCTCCCTCTCTCATTTTCATGACTTCCTGCTCAGATGCTGTAGACTACGGTTCTTTTCCTGGTCTTGTCCTTTTTTTCCTGTGTTAAATATTTTTCTGTGGAGACATAGTTTACTTAAGTAAAAACAAATTTGGTACAGTATTTTCTGGGAATTAATCACTGTCTGGGAGGAGCTAGTGTGCTTCTAGCATTAACCAGAGGCTGTTGTTAACTGCCAGGAAATGTTCTATGCTGATGTTGCTGTAAATGATGAAAAAGGCAAGGGGCAGGACATGGATTTTTTTTTCTTTTAAGTTTGAAGTGCTGTTTGTTATGTGCAGGGCATTCATTAAGTGCCCTATATGTTACTTATATTACAGTAGCCCTCCGGGGCCTGATCTCTGTTTGGGGATCCATCATGGTGTTGAACAAACAATTAGCCAATCCGATTTACATAGATCTTATTGCAACGCTTCTTGTTGTTTAGAATCAGAGTTCAAAGACAAGTAAATCTTTGCTAATTTTGAGAAGCACATTTCAGATTTGATCTGTTTTTTTTCCCCCCCAGTCTTTAAATGTCTGAGAACCTTCAAAAGTGTAATGCTAGTAAGAGTCAACTTCAGTGGTTGTGCTCATCTTTTGGGTATTGTCCTATCCTTGCAGACTTCTTTTGATGTCATGACGCTTTGTGCTGTATTTGCTTTGCCATCTCAGTCCTCCTAAAATCAATTCTAATGATTCTCAAAATGGGGAAACTAGTGTACAATACTCCATTTAAAACTGCAGCAAGGTAGAGGAGGACCAAAACCAACCTGTTTCTCACTGGTATTCCTTTGTGATGGCTTACTTCAAAACTAGAAGGGATTCTCATAGCTTCCACTGAAATCAGTAGATACTCATTAGTTTTCACTGTAATCTGTGGGGGTGCTGAGTGTTGAGCAGCACCACTGAAAATCAAACTACTTATTTGGGTGCTTAAGTATGAATTTAGTTGTCTCATTTTTAGGCATGTGCTTTTGAAAACTTTGACCTTGGACTCCAGAAAATTGGGAATTTTAATAGAATACTTCTCCACACCAGACATCTTCAAAGTCAACTAGCTGCTTATGAATCAGTAATTATAATCATTACCTATGAGGCAAAAACTGTTCACTCTCTTCTCACAATTATCAGGTTAATTAGATAAGCTCATCATTGTTGTAAAGTGACTGAAGTCAATGAAGTTATGGCACTTTAGGGTGACCAGATGTCCCGATTTTATAGGGACAGACCAGATTTGGGGGTCTTTTTCTTATATAGGCTCCTATTACCCCCCACACCCTGTCCCGATTTTTCACATTTGCTGTCTGGTCACCCTATGGCACTTTGACCCCCTAGCTTGAAACTACAGGGACTATTCCACCAAATTTCCCTTTATTTTTCTCAGGAGATATCTGCTGTCTTAATTCTGAGTCAGTTACTAATTGCTGAGTCTTACCTGGAATCTCCATGCTTCATTAACTTGCATTGTTTCCTGTTTGTTCTGGTAGGGAGGGGTCTTTTTAACAGAGCAAGAGTTTGGCTACTGTTCTTATGTTTTGGTATTTAAATGTAGACTAGAACTTGGTTTTATGGCCTATGCAGTGATCATGGGCAAATCACTTTGCCGCCTTGTGCCTCAGTTTCCCTACCTGTAAAGTGGGGAGGATAGTAATGATTAATGTCTTTGTAAAGTGCTTTGAGATCTACCAAAGAAAACTTCTGTAACAAGAGCTAGGTATTAGAGCCTAGGGTAGAGCCTTTTATGCTTAAAATGCTTTACATCAGTAAGTTAGGTACAGGTAGTGCAATGACTGTAGGCAGACATGACAGCTATGTATTTAGCAATAGTTCCCATACATGTTTAGCTATTCAGTTGGAATTGCAGATGTATGATGACATACCATGTGGTATTACTTATGGTACAGGAGTTAAATATCTCCCGAGGGACTTTTTGTGCCAAGGTTTTGATTTTAACCTGTTTTCACAGAAAAAAGATGAATACTAACATCTAAGGAGCTTCAGAGTGGCAGCCGTGTTAGTCTGTATCCGCAAAAAGAACAGGAGTACTTGTGGCACCTTAGAGACTAACAAATTTATTTGAGCATAAGCTTTTGTGTTCCATTCTAGGCATCCGAAGAAGTGGGCTGTAGCCCACGAAAGCTTATGCTCAAATAAATTTGTTAGTCTCTAAGGTGCCACAAGTACTCCTGTTCGTTTTTATCTAAGGAGCTGTGTACTTTTCTAATTGGGAAGAAAGTTTGGAAAATGAATCAAAGTATTTTACTTCATGGTAGAATCTAGAACTATTCAGTCTGCGCTGCAGACCGTATATTAAATAGCTGGGAGTCAGCATTTTATTAGCACATAGTGTGTCAGTTTTCCTAAACCCATAATAAAAAGCTGAGTTGTACATGTTCTTATCCAAGGAAGAAGTGACCATAGAAAAGAGCGGGTAACACCAGATTAAAAAAAAAAAAATCCTTCTGAGTCCTACTTACAGTCCAGGAGAAAAAATAAACAACAAACCCCGATTTTCCCTGTTTTCTTGCTGTCCTTGTGTATGTATGGAGCAATGCCTTATCTCCTAACAGCTTTATGTAAACGTGCAATTATAAAAAGACCTAAAGATCTTAATGCCAGTTATACAGTAAAAACTGGTTGGGTGAAAAATTTTAACTACTTTTTTCTTTTTGCAGAGTTGAAAGATCTACAGATCAAGTAATCAAACCAGTCAATGTGGAAGCTTTGTCCAAATGGGTTGGGAAAATACCTTCAGATGTTCTACAAGACATGCCAGTCATTGCACCAATGTTAGCGAAACTTGGCTACGATCCATATGCCAATCCACCAAATTATGGAAAGCCAGATCAAAAAGTTCTTGAAAACACACGACGGGTAAGGTATTTTTGTATATGAAATCTAGTTGGCTAAAAGTGCATTATGAAAGAAATGTTGAGGAGATTTTGTTTTAACGTGGACTATAAAACAGTAATTTACTGTTTTCCTAACTGCAACCTTTAAAAGAGCTTTTGGAGGAGATTTTCATAGGCACTATGAACAGTTAGGCCTCCAACTCCCATTGACTTTTAATGTGACTTGGGTGCCTAACAGCCCATTATGCTTTTGAAAATGACCCCCTTCATTGCTACCTTCAACATACTGGCATGCAAGGAATTGTTAAAGAGCTTCAATGCTGAGTATTATAGGAAAGTGTGTAAGACTATAAGACTATAAGATTTACCATTGCAGATCAGACCGTTGCTTCTGCCTCCCAATGGTTTTAGACAAGGTGAATCACTCTCCCACGTCCCATGATGCATCTAGCTAACTGAGTATACTTAAGGGAAGGAGGAAAATCCTTCCTGAGCTCCTTAGGGACTCATCTGCAAAGCAGGAGAATGAAATACTCTTGCTTTAGGTTGCTCAGATACAAATATTCATGGATATAAATATTTCTAGCTCCTCTTTACAGCTCAAACTACAGAGCTTTTTTTAAAACTCTTGTTCTTCATTAACCATTTGTTTCTGTATCATGGGAATCTATTGCTCTGTCAAGCTTGGGGTTGCTTTGTATCTTGTTTTCTTTTGCATTTTCCATGTCTCAGAGGCAGGAAAGAAGTTTCTTTTCTCCTTTCTCCTATTGGCACTTTATTGTTTTGTGGGATGAAGTGCAAAATGAAGATGCTCCTGAAACTCTCCAAGCTCAGTGGCAGAGATTTCCTTAGGCTCGCTCTCGCTCTGAGGGCTGTTTTTCCACAGAACTATTAGCCAACTTTTCCCTCTCGCTCCAGTTTGATCTGACTGGCAAGGAGTGGGGCTTTGGGGAAACACTTAAAGAAACATGAGGGAAGTCCAAAGCCTAACAGTAGATTCCCAGCTAATTCAGTGGTTGAGCAGGGTCCTGTTTACAACATTAAGGGACTTATAGAATCAAGAGGTCATCAAGTCCAGGTCAGGGCACTGAAGCAGGACCAAGTAAACCTAGACCATTCCTGACGGGTGTTCATCCAACCTGTTCTTAAAAACCTCCAATGATGGGATTCCACAACCTCCCTTGAAAGCCTCTTCCAGAGCTTAATTACACTTAAGATAGAAAGATTTTTCCTAGTAGCTATCCTAAATCTCATGCTGCAGATTAAGCCCATTACTTCTTGTCCTATCTTCAGTGCATGTGGAGAACAATTGATTTCAGTCCTCTTTATATCTTCGATTCCTGTGTTTGGTTTCACATTTTCCTCATGTAATTTCAACTCATCTTCTACATCATCATTTGGGAGTCTTCTCTTCAACAAAAACGACAAGTCCTTGTGGCACCTTAGAGACTAACAAATTTATTTTGGCATAAGCCTTTGTGGGCTAGAACCCACTTCATCAGATGCATGGAGTGGAAAATACAGGAGCAGGTATAAATACATGAAAAGATGTGAGTTGCCTTACCAAGTGTGAGGTCAGTCTAACGAGACAATCCAATTAACAGCAGGATACCAAGGGAGGAAAAATAACCTCTGAAATGGTAATGAGTAGCCCATTTCAGACAGTTGACGGGAAGTTGTGAGTAACAGTAGGGGGAAATTAGTATTGGGGAAATTAGGTTTAGGTTTTGTAATGACCCAACCACTCCCAGTCTTTATTCAGGCCTAATCTGATGGTGTCCAGTTTGCAAATTAATTCCAGTTCTGCAGTTTCATGTTGGAGTCTGTTTTTGAAGTTTTTGTTGTTGAAGAATTGCCACTTTTAGGTCTGTTAGTGAGTGACCAGGGAGATGGAAATGTTCTCCTACTGTTTTTTGAATGTTATGATTCCTGATGTCAGATTTGTGTCCATTTATTCTTGTGCGTAGAGACTGTTCAGATTTGGAGACAATTTATACCTTCAAGTCAGCGGGACCGCATGGCCCCACAGTATGCCACCATTTTTATGGCTGACTTAGAACAACGCTTCCTCAGCTCTCATCCCCATACGCCCCTACTGTACTTGTGCTATGTTGATGACATCTCCATCATCTGCACCCCTGGGACCCATTTTCAAGAAAGCCAAACCAGCAATCCAGTCTCTCATCTGCCAACCCCCATCACAAAACAGGTGTATCCATCATATGATCCTTCTTGGGAACAGTGGTCCTATGGAAATCAAGAGGTAGAAATAAAACTAAGATGGATTCAATCAAGATGATTAATCTTTTCCCTTATAGTGCCTCTCATGATGTCACCAGATCTCTCTTCTGTAACACTCAGGCTTTACGTGATGCCTGGGTCTGAAGTTTTGATACAGACCCTACTTCCAGAGAACTTGGTTCTGGAACCCTTTGGACTGAAACTTTTTTGGCAAGTTCCTAGCAAAGGCCCTAAAGGACTCTTCAAACCTGAATAGAATTTCCAGTTTTGCCAAGCCTTTTGATCCACCTGAGCCAGGAAATTCCTCACCAAAACTAACCGGAGAGACTCTCTCAATGAAGAATTTTTATTTATTTATTTTTGTAAGATAATGAAGCTCTTGTAGCTCAGGTGTACTATTTCCCCTTGCAGGTAGGCTTAAGAATTTTTGTCTTAAATCTGAGTCAGTACCACTGTGAATGAACCTGCTCTCAAGATTTTTAAAGAAGGAATTTCAAGAGCTATCCCTGCTGTCTCTTTATCTGTTTAAAAAATGAAGCTTTCTAGACTGTAGCAAAGTAATCTTTCTCTTGGAGCAATATTCCCAATGTCATCAAAAGAAACAGACACTGATTTCTGTGCTAGATTCTTCATGGCAATGACAAGAACCTAAGGTTTTATCCATTCCATCCTCCATCTCTCAATATGCAAAACATACTTCAGAATGGAGATGTTGGCACTTTTGAGCCAAGAAACAGACTCTCCTCCTACTCTCTGTCACTCAAGCTGTCTTATGCTTCACAAATCTCAACATTTCCATGCCACCAACATTTCCTACACTTCGCAATTGGGAATCACTTCTCAGTTCCACACAATGCCCTTTGACTTATCTCGTGCTCCTCCATTGATCATAAAAGTTGCTGGTCATCCCAGCAGCCAGCCTGAGATGTGGACTTCCAGGTCTACCACTAGCTGTATGACCTACTGATGAAGATACAATCCTATGTGGTGACAATTCGCCATGCCCTCTGACCCTACCTGTTCCTGGGACATCATGGATTCATAATAAACTATAGAATAGCTGAAGCAGTTGTTTAGGGTTGGAAGGATTAGCTTTTTATCAGTAAATGACTGTAAACTTTGATTTCACCATACACATACAAACCAATGAAAAATGTTTCCACTGATGATTATCTAAATTTACAGATATGTGAAGTAAAAATAATGCTGCTTGAGACCTTATTAGAGTTTGATGTAAGGATATTTACTTAGTATATTTTGACATGTGATGTTGACAATTTGTGTTTTAATGGTTATAAAGCTTTAACTTGTAGAATCTGTGTTTACTGTCATTAAATAATTGTCTGACCCCTCCATAGTTTCCCGCAACTGTGAAAATGTAAATAGGTAATAATAGAACAAACACATTAGGGCTGTCAAGCGATTAAAAAGCTTAATCGTGCAATTTATTTAAATATTCTTGGATTTTTTCTACATTTTCAAATATATTGATTTCCGTTACAACACAGAATAAAAAGTGTACAGTACTCACTTTATATTTATTTTTTATTACAAGTATTTGCTCTATACAAAAAAAAGATGTAGTATTTTTCAATTCACCCAGTACAAAACCTGTAGTGCAGTCTCTTTAGCATGAAAGTTGAACTTACAAATGTAGAATTATGTACAAAAAATGCATTTAAAAATAAAACAATGTGAAATTTTAGAGCCTGCAAGTCCACTCAGTCCTACTTCTTGTTCAGCCAATCGCTCAGACAAACAAGTGTGTTTACATTTGCAGGAGATAATGCTGCCCTTTTCTTGTTTACAGTGTCACCTGAAAGTGAGAACAGGTGTTCGCATGGCACTTTTGTAGCCAGCATCACAAGATATTTACGTGCCAGATGCGCTAAAGATTCATATGTCCCTTCATGCTTCAACCACCATTCCAGGGGACATGCATCCAGGCTGATGACAGGTTCTGCTTGATAATGATCCAAAGCAGTGCAGACCGACGCATGTTCTTTTTCATTATCTGAGTCAGATGTCACCAGCAGAAAGTTGATTTTATTTTTTGGTGGTTTCCGCATCGGAGTGTTGCTCTTTTAAGACTTCTGAAAGCATGCTCCACACCTTAGCCCTCTCAGATTTTTGGAAGGGACTTCAGATGCTTAAACCTTGGGTTGAGTGCGGTAGCTATCTTTGGAAATCTCACATTGGTACCTTCTTTGCGTTTTGTGAAATCTGCGGTGAAAGTGTTCTTAAAATGTACTGGGTCATCATCCGAGACTGCTGTAACATGAAATATATGGCAAAATGCGGGTAAAACAGAGCAGGGGACATAAAATTCTCCCCCAAGGAGTTCAGTCAAAAATTTAATTATCACATTATTTTTTTAACAAGCGTCATCAGCATGGAAGCATGTCCTCTGAAGCACGAAGGGGCATACGAATATTTAGCATATCTGGTACGTAAATACCTCGCAATACTGGCCCAACTCTGAAGGTGGCGCCCTTCCAGTAGCAGTGCAGAAGTAAGGGTGGCAATGCCATACCATACCACGCCAACCTTACTTCTGCACTGCTGCCTTCAGAGTTGGATGGCTGGAGAGTGTTAGCTGCTGACTGAGGGGCCCAGCGCTGCAGGCAGCAGTGCAGAAGTAAGGGTGGCATTACCATACCATGCCATCCTTGCTGCTGCTGGCGGTGGCTCTGCCTTCAGAGCTGGGCTCCCGGCCAGCAGCAGCCACTCTTCAGCTGCCCAGCTCTGAAGGCAATGCGACAAGCAGCAGTGCAGTGGGTA